TGTTAAAACATCAAAATAGCCGTGGTCAAGTTGTAAAGAAAAAAATATTAACGTGGTCAGTTACAGAGTGCGATTGCATGCCATTTCTGTCCAAAGCTGATATATATATATATATATATATATATATATATATATATATATATATATATATATATATATATATATATATATCAAGCCTTCCCAGGAAAGGCGTGCATTTTTTTTTCTCGGATGACCACGAAAACGTTTTTCAAGTTAGAGAACGTGATCACCGCTATTTGCGCAAGTTATATTATATGCATTACTGAAAAGTTGTTTTAAATTTAATAACTACATAAGAAATTAAAGTAAACCTAAATAGAAAACAATAATAATAGTTTAAACAATTTGTGTGTTGTTTTTATTTTTGTTTTTTTTTAGTTGTTTTTATTATCGGCAACAAATTTCATTAAGTCAAAGCAAAAAAAAAAAAAAAAAACGGTTTTAGAAGTTAAAAAGGATGACTTTCCCATATTTTATGTGTTTTTTCGTTTAAAGAGGAAAAAGAATATATGTATCATCATCTGTTTGTAAAATATATTTGGAAATTAGTAAAATATTAGGTCTTTAAAATTTTAGTTTATGCATATCTGTGTACTTTGTTTACAAGGAGCAAATTATTAAAAGTTTGCTAGCGAGAAAGTTACAAAAAACAAAACAAAAACAATAAACTTACGACTACAAAAGTAATAACACTTTAGTCATTAACTGCATTATAAAAGTGATAAAACTATAATAGTGTTATTACATTTATAAAGCACTTATTACTTTTAAAGTTCACTGTTTGTTCAAACAACATTATTAATTCCAAACATTTATTAAAGTAGATAAGGATCTAGAAAAAATAAAGCGGATATTCAAATATTAAAAATTTCAGAAACTTTCACATATCGCTTAAACAAAGTTACTTTATAAAAAGTATAGCATTATGAAAAACGTTACGTAAAAACGCCCGTTTTTTAAAATCAATAAATAAAAAATTTTTGTTGGTTAATTTTAAAATTAACGCGCGTTTTTACGGTCCATTAGTAACGTTTTTCATAATGCTAAACTTTTAATATGATACGTTTTCATAAAGTTGTTTGTCACGTTTTTATAAGTTTCTTTAGTTTTAATATTATTTGAACATCTACTTTATTCTTCTAGATGTTTTTCTACTTCAATTAAAATTTAGGAATACTAATGTTGCTTGAACAAAGAATGATTTTTAAAAGTTATAAGTGCGTTATAAAAGTAATAACACTATTATAGTGTTATTACTTTTGTAATGCAATGACTAGAATGTTGATACTTTTGTAATCGTAAGTTTATTGTTTTATTTTTTCTTTTTTCGCTAACAATTTTAAGTTGATTCTCCCTATAAAAACAAGGAAAACGGTTTTGTATAAACTAAAATCTTGATTACTAGATATTTTTCCAGATTTTGCGTTTTGCATTCGCTTAATTCAACCCTTGTTTTTACATTAAAATTAAAGAAATAAATTTTACAAACACATTGCAATTTGTGTTTTTGCTATTCTCTTAAAAAAAAAATTAAGAAAAGGAAAATCATTCTTTTTATTGTAGACTTCAAACTGTTATTTTTTTTGCTTCACCTTATTTAATTTTGTTGTTGAATGTAACTCAAAAATATAAAAACAGTACAAAAATTATTTAAATTATTAATTTTTTTTTATTTTTTTTTATTTCTATCTCTTTTTATTTTGTTAGTTTTGTTTTTTTCTTTTTGTTTTTTTGCAAGTTTTATAATAATGCTGAAAAAACTTTTTCAGCATTATTAGAAAACTTGCAAACGGCTGTGTTTACGTTTTCTAAAATATTATAATCGCTTTTCTAAAATATTATAATATTATATATATATATATATATATATATATATATATATATATATATATATATATATATATATATATATATATATATATATATATATATGTATATTTTAGGGTGCATCAAATGCCCCATACTTTCAAAAATTGATCTTCCCTATTCTTAAAACTTTCTATTGGTACTCACAAGACACTCTGTTAAATTTTTTCAAAATTGAATGAGATTTAGGGGGGCCACCTCAAATCGGAAACTAGCGACGAGACCCTAAACAGAAGAAAAAAAAGTTTTTCAAATGTATGTCATGTTGGGTCTCAAAAGAAGCGAAATTTTATAGAAAAATTTCAAAAACAATAAAAATTTTACATAATATTTATTATTATAAGTTTTATTGCATAAAAATTATTTTTTAGCAAAAATTAAAATCTCATTCAATATATATATATATATATATATATATATATATATATATATATATATATATATATATATATATATATATATATATATATATATATATATATATATATATATTTATATATATATATATATATATTTATATATATATATATATTTATTTATTTATATATATTTATATATATATATATATATATTTATATATTTATATATATATATATTTATTTATTTATATATATTTATTTATATATATATATATATATATATATATATATATATATATATATATTTATATATATATTTATATATATATATATATATATATATATATATATATATATATATATATATATATATTATATATATACAGGGGCTATTCTAGACCGTTTTTGACAGCGTCTACCATATTTGAGTGCCATCCAAACTTTTTTCCTAAAAAAGACCCTGATATATATATATATATATATATATATTTATATATTTATATATATATATATATATATATATATATATATATATATATATATATATATATATTATATATATATATATATATATATATATATATATGTATGGAGGTATGTATGTATGTATGTATATATGTATATTTTAAATGTTGACATCTTCAATAGATTTTATTTGTATAAATGTTTTAAATAAAACTTCTTTTTATGGTTTAATATCTATTTGTTAAAAGTATATTTATTATTACGATATTTCGAGGGAATATTGATACCGTCGTTATCAAGTATATTAAAAACCGTTATGAAAGATAAAACCGCTATATTATACAAAACCATTTAAATTTACAAAACAATTTTCTTTGTAAGAGCTTCTTAATAAGAGTTTTTTTAAGAGAGTTTTTTGTGATGTAAGAATTTGAACATGAGTTTCCAAAATGACGTCGTCACATAATCGCCATTTTCACTTTCATTCCATTTCCACAGGAATGGTTGCAATACCTTAAAAATAGAAACAAATAGTTTTAATCGGAAAGTTAGGGAGCGTTGGAAATACAACACAATGAAAGTACCTTTCGTGACAATGGTCTTAATCGAGATGATGGAGATTATGCGACGACATCATTTTGGAAACTCATGTTCAAATTCTTGTCACAAAAAACTTTCTTAAAAAAACTCTTAATAAGAAGCTCTTATAAAGAACATTGTTTTGTAAATTCAAATGGTTTTGTATAATATAGTGGTTTTGTTTTTTATAACGGTTTTTAATATATTTGATAATGAGGGTATTAATATTCCCTCAAAATATCGTAATAATAAATATATTTTTATTATAAATATTTGTATATATATATATATATATATATACAAATATTTGTATTTGTGTATATATATATATATATATATATATATATATATATATATATGTATGTATGTATCAGGCATAGCATCCAGCAAAAACCATTTTATGTGTGTGAAGAGTGATTTAACATTATGCTACACTATTTATGTAATGCTAAAAACTTTTTTTGTTTATTAATATTTAAATTATTCTATAGATAATTTTAGACAGTATTTTAATGAAGTAGTTAATTTTTTTTTAACTCTATTTTAATGAAGCAGTTAAGGTTTTAAAACACTACACACAGTTGTGACAAAAGTTTAAATTGTAAATACATAAAATATGGTCATTATTTACTAGTATAGTATAATAAATTCAGATATATATATATATATATATATATATATATATATATATATATATATATATATATATATATATATATATATATATATATATATATATATATATATATATATATATATATATATATATATATGTTAGGGTGGTATAAATAAATAGAACAAATATAATATAATAAAATATAATATAATAATAGTTAATTAATAAATAAACCCGAAGAAAAAGCTTATCTAAAGAATTTTTTTCACAGTGTGATAAACACTCATATCAGGGACTATTCTAGACCATTTTCGACAGCACCAACTGTATTTGGGTGCTGCTGCCCCCACCCCCCTCTTTCCCACTAAAAAAAAAATCAATTATATATTTCCACATAATTGTAATAAAATCTTGAATAACTTTTATTTGAAAAGTTAAATTTTTTTTTCACAGTTAATAACAAATAAAGCAGAATGAGGAGTCTTCTGTTTTGTTACTATGCAAATATTTAAAGAAAAATATTCAGCTTTTTTTTATGTTCAAGAGAGAAATTATTATTTTATAAAAGTATATGAAATCTTTAGAATAGTTATGGTTTGTTAAATATAGTTTAATAAATTTTTTTCTCATTATTTTTCTTTTAAGTTCTGAATATTATTTCTCTTTTTTTTTTTTTTAAATAAATTTTTGTTAATGAAAGTGGCAAAATAAAAATATTTATGTTTTATCTTAATAAAAATACCATATTTATTTTTTTAAACCTAAGTTGTTAAAAAGATTTTAATTATGTAATCAGACAGATTATGTTGTAGACTTTACACACCCTTGACACCCAAGTAGAGCTTAGACACCTCAATAGGTTTCAACTTGACTCTATACCAAATTTGAATAAAAGGTATTATGATTCGGTCATAAACCATCTTATTTGTTAGTTTATTATTTTGTTTACATTTATGTTGTTTGCCTCAATAATTTATAGAACTTTTTAAATATAGGATCATTTAAACAAAAATCTTTTTTGATAATAAACAATTTTATTAATTAATACCATGAGTTAATATTTATTTCCTTTGATTAATTTTGTTTTTTAGATAAATAAAATAAGAAAGTGTTTTGAACTTCAATGGTTCACTTTATTTTGTTAAATATTTCTTTGTTTACTGTTGAAATTAGATCTTACATAATTATGATGTATAGATTATTTTACAGTGTTGTTTGCATTCGGTCTAAGGTGAATGTTTATCTTTCTGCTCATTAAATATCTTTTAAATAAAGAAGTTTTGTTAAGTAACAAAAGACTTTAAAAATATCATAATAGCTATGAGTTTAAAAAAAAAAAAGTCAAGTTTTTTTTCAAGAAAGAAAAACAGTTCCAGTACGGAAAGTCTTGATGTGGATAAGAAAGATAGATCCTTTTCTATTGAATATAACAGTAAAACTCAAGAAGATAATATTTCTGTATTTCGTACAAAGACACTCAGTGAAATAGAAAAATATGTTAATGAGGTTGATCCATTAGAAAATAAATTGAATAAAAATTCAAGTTTGTTAAAATTAAATAAAGAGGTCAATAATGCTGCTACACTCAATGTCACTACAAAACCAAAAGGGTAAACACCAAGATTTTCAATAGTAGTTAGTTATTGTGTATTTTATTTATTTAAAAAATTTATCATATATGTATATGAAGGGTACACGGGAAAAAATGGCAAAGTCACATTAAAAAAGTTTTGAGAAAGTATTTACTGATCATTTTTTGTATAATGATAGGTAAAAAAAATTTTTAATAAAAATTACAAAAATTTTATTAAAAATGTTAACTTAAGATAAGTTTCCTAATTTTTAGGTTTCTTTGTTTTTTATGAAGACTTATCTAAATGATCAATATAGACTTTCTCAAAACTTTTTTAATGTGCTGTTAAACCTTGTCGTTTTTTCCAGTGTACTCTTCCTATATTGTATATATAGTGTATATATTTTTGGAACATTATTAATTGTTGGTTGTGTAAAAGATAAATAACTATATAAGATATTAATAAATAATAAAGTTTTTATCAAAATGGAATTTTATATTCCTTTTTTTTGTTTTTTTTTGGATTTTTCCTTTTTTTGTTAAATGTTTTAATTATAAAGTTTTTTTCTAGTGAACACTCTGTTGCTCAAGCAAGAGCATCTGTAATGATTTATAATAATGATCTCAAAAAGTGGGAACATGCTGGCGGATCACAAGGAGTTTCACGAGTACATGTTTATTTTAATCCAAGCAGTGAATCCTATAGAATTGTTGGAAGAAAAGTCAATGATAACGAGGTAAAAAATGAAACTTTGGCTATGTTATTTTTAATTTATACTTGTATTCTTTTATAGGTTTATTTTTAGTACAAAGTTATTGAACTTATGAGATTTGTTTAGTTAGTGATAATGTCAATATTTTAATATTATAGTTATAGTAATAAGGTAACATTTTTATGTATCATATTAACTATCATGTTTGTTTTCTACCAGACACAAAGTTTATCTCTTTGTTATAAAAAAATTTAATGCAAAGTATCTAAGTTTAAATATTCTTTTTTTAACTTTATATAGTTTATATTTACTTCTATAGTAGCTTTTATTTTTAAGGTTGTAATAAACTGTTTAATTGCTAAGAACCTGAAATACAACAAAGCTACTGCTACCTTTCACCAATGGAGAGATCAAAGACAAGTTTATGGCTTAAATTTTGTAAGCCCTGAGGATGCCTCAACCTTCTCAGAAGCAGTTCTTGGTGCAATAGACTATCTAAGCAATCCAGGTGTGATATTCAAAAGTTATGCTTATTGAACAACAAATGTTAATTTAAATTTATTAAACTTAGTAGCAAAAAAATAGAACTTGAAAAAAATGTTAAATAAATATAAGGAAAAACTTGTTCATACATAATACTTATACATACATACACATACATACATACATGCATCCATACGTTTTTTAATACTTATACATACATACACATACATACATACATACATACATACATACATACATACATACATACATACATACATACATACATACATACATACATACATACATGCATCCAAATTTTTTTGACGCTTTTTCTTTAAGTTTTTGTTTACAAAATGAATTACGTCATTAAGTAATAATTATTTTGTCGCAATGGTTTGACAAGGTTATTACTGAAACTTTTTATATTAGGAGAATTTAAAGTGAGAAAGCTTTTTTTATATATATATTAATTAAAATTATTTGTATTATTGTTTTTTATTTGTTTATGTATTGTAATAAAATTATGAATGTAAATAAAAATAAGAATTATATAAATGTTTTTATTTAGATATTAAAAAAAGAAACATTTATTTGTCTTTCTCCTAATATTCAAATTAAAACATTTTTATTTTTGTTTTAGTAAAAAAATCTTTTGTTTTAAAATGCTACAAAGTATATCTATTTAAATGAAAATACTTTGTAGCATTTTAAAAATTTAATCTAATGAAAAAATGCATAAACGTAAGAAGTGTAAATAAAAGCTTTGACAAATCAAAGATTTTCTTATTTAAATAATTCAATTAAGTATTAATAAAGTTGTAATACTGAAATAATTTTTTAAAGTTGCTCTTGGTCTTGCGGAAAAACTGTTTTTGATTTGCTAACTTTCATGTTTGGAAAAATCACTCAGGAAGAGTGCCGCCAGTTTTTTAAAATTTTCTTTGTTAATTATTTTTAATGAATGAGTTCAATACTTATGCAGTTCTTTTGTTACGTAACTTAAACTAATAATATAAAAAAATTTCTATTATATTTTTAGCAATAAGTTCGCCCTCTTTTAGCCAGGTTCAAATCTTTTTAGCTTATTCATTAGACTAACAGGTTTCATACAAAATAGCAAATATTTGATAAATATGTATGTTAAAAATGGAATAGCCCATATATATTATTTTTATGTTTTTATTTTCTCATTAAAACTATAATGATAAAATATTAATAAAAAAAAAATAATAATATAACAAATTAGTTTTGTTTTTCAATGCGTTTTTAAAATGCATCATTTTTAATATATGCAAAAAAAATTTTAATGTCTCGACGCTGATACAAGATAAAAATAATTTTAATGTCTCAACGCTGATACAAGATATATACAGTTTTAATGTCTCAATGCTAATACAAGATAATTTTAATGTCTCAAAGCTAATACAAGATAACTGAAAACTTTGTATAATTAGTTATATCATAAACTATGGCATATGCTCATGGAAGGTTTATGGTTGAATATATACAATCCATATATACAATCAATTGCTAAACTAGCATCTGCTAAGTTTGCTTCTCTTTATCATGCATGTCATTTTTTTACTCCTGATTGCATTTTTTAGCTCTACAAATCTCTTATTTGCCTTTGTAAGGAATACTGTTGTCATATTTGAAATGGTTCTTCTAATGATGCTCTTTCTTTTCTAGGCAAGGTCCAAAAACACATTGTATATGTAGTTGGACCCACTCTATCTGCCAACCTTGAGCCTCTCTCCCATTGTCTTAAAGTTGCATCTTTATCTTTTCTACAAATACTTTCATGGTTGCTGCTTATAGGAGATATTATCTCCAGTTCTGATAACCAAAATTTATTCTTGCTTGACTTGTTATTCAGCAAAGTCTCAATCTTTTACTGTATATGTCCCTGAATGCTCTAAAAAGTTTTATTTGTCTAGTTTTTTTCCTCACACTTCAACCATTTGGAATTCTCCTATCTTCATGTTTTCCTGACTCACACAACCTGCAACTTTTCAAGTCATCTGTCAATTCTGAACTTCAGTAACTGCCAAATTAATAGTGGTTGCTTGCAGCCATACATATATTTATGTATGTATGTATATATGTATGTATGTGTGTGTATACTATTTGGTAATCAGCCTATTCAGCTACTTTTATTACTATTTGGTATTTGGCTGAATATTACCAGATAATAATACCGAAGAATAATATTAAATTGTAACAAAAAAATACATATAAAAATGGATTTTACATATTCTTTTAAAAAATTTTTTGGCCTACTTTATACTGTAAGTCTAATGAGGTAGGTTATTATAAAAACATTTTCATCATTTGATGATAAGAAATGATCAAATGATTGCTTCATAAATTATACATGCAAGTTCTGTTAAGATAACTTTTTGTGCTTGCTGACCATAACTTGTAAGGGTTTGTTGTCTAATTTAAGAAAAGTAAAAAGTTTCATGTAAAAACTAATTTCATTTGCAATTGGTTTTTTCTTTTCTGCATTTCCATATGTGTGCATATTTTTATTGAGATTTGATATTTTCATTTACATTACTTTTTCTTACAAAGTGGAGATGAATTTTATTATTGCTACTATACACCGGTCATGCTTAATCAGCTTAAAGCAGTCTTTTAATGAGGAGGGTTAACCTTTCACTGACTTAATATTTCTCAGAGCTTTTAAATTTTGTTTTTAATAGTTGTTTTGCTTGTTTTGTTTTAACATTCCCACTTAAGTTCAGGTCGTAGTAAAGATATCATTTTAAGTAAGTTTAGAGTTCTTTGTGGTATATCTATCAATAGTAACTTTTAAGTTATCTCAGAAGTGCAAGATATACCTGAGCTGTGAAGATCTATCTATATCAACTTCTGAAATTATCTCTGAAATGCAACTACTTGAGCTGGTTATTTTTTCTTTTTAAATGGTTTAAAGAGTATGATACTATTATACATAACTATAGTTAAAACAATTTGATCAGGGGCTATAAACTATGTAAAATTGACTCATTTTTGTTACCTGCACATACTAAAAAGAAAAAAACACAATCTGTTGCAAATGTACATGATTTTGAAAGTGAACAGAAGGATACCAGAGAGAGTGACAGTAAAATCAGTGAACTACAAATAAATGCAAATTCTCAAGTTAACACTTATAAAGACAATACTGTTGCATCTGATTTGTCTGATCATGACACACTAGATCTCATTATAAGCAATGAAAATGAACCATTTAGTTCTGCAGCACTTTTAAACTTTCAAGATCCTACTGATGGAGGGAATTATCCAATCGATATAGTTGATCCAAATATAAAGAAATTTATTGTTGCACATGGATCATGTAGACCAAAGGGCCTACTCCGAGAGACAACAAAAATAGATGTTTTTCTGTCAATTACTATAACATGAAAACAAAGTCAGGTTTGACTATACCGGTGACTTGGTTGAGCTATTCCAAAAACTTAAATGTTACGTATTGTGAAGTTTTAAAAATGAAATGATAAAAATCTTAAAATTTGGAGTAAAGTTATACAGGACTTGCAGGGGTTTTCTAAAAAAATTAATAAACATGCTAATTCAAAAAGCTATAGTTTGTCTTGTATAATAGGATGAATCTTTAAGATTTAGGAAATTGATTGAAAATTTTGTTTTTCTGCTCTTTATGTTCTCTGAAATACTTGGAGCAATTGGTATAGCCTCTAAAAATCTACAAAAAAAGAACACAAATTTGTTTATTGCCTCACAATATCTTGGAAATGCATTGGAGACGACTATAAAGTACAGACTGAATTTTGAAGAAACTAAAAAAGAAGCAATTGCAGTTGCTAGCAAGTAGGGTGTTGAAGTAAAATTTAAAGACAAAAGTAAAGCAACAATTTGACGAGTTAACTTATGATCAGAGATTGACTGACCCAGAAGACAAATTTTGTGTTATTATTTTTAACAGTGTGTTAGATATTGTGAACACACAATTGAAAACTAGATTCCAAGGAATGCATGACATTGTAAGCAGTTTTTCGGTACTTTTTCCATCAACTCTTTTCTCTGAGGATGAGAACAACATTATTAAAGCTGCAAAGTCATTACAGGAAAAATATCCCGACTATTTCTCACCAGAGTTTCCGCTTCAGTTGCTGTCTTTCCAAATGTCAATAAACAGTGAAATAAAAAAATTACAACTGTTAATTAACTAGCAAACTTACTAATTGTGTATTACACCTCCATTTCATCTTCATATATTGATGTGCTAACTGCTTTGATTATGTCTTTGACATTGCCAGTCACTGTGGTTGCAGCAGAAAGGTCATTTTCAAAACTTCAACAACTATGAACAAAAGCTCATAAAAAATTATCTTCGTAATTTGATGGGTGAAGAACGCCTTATCAGTTTTGTTGAGCATTGAAGACTCGCGAGTAAAAGTTATGGATGTTGACTAGATCATTGACCGATTTGCAGATATAAAGAATCATCGTAAGGTTTTGTCTTAGAATACTCATCTGTACTGTGTATAATAATATAATATGTATAAATATATAAATGCATCTAATATGTATTATGCTCAATTTTTATGCTAAAACTTGCGTGAAACAAAGCAAATTCGGTGTCAATCGCACACGACGACCCCCACATGGAACGGACATGCATTTCTCAAAAGTGGGTTGATAATTAAAAACATAAAATTATTGTCTACCAGATTGTCATGGATTGTATGGAGGATAGAGGGCGCCTTTGAAAGACTTGCAGGAGGGGGGGGGCAAAATTTGAAGTTACGCCAATGTGTATATATATATATATATATATATATATATATATATATATATATATATATATATATATATATATATATATATATATATATATATATATATATATATATTTATATATATTTATATATATGTATATATATATATGTATATATACATATATATATGTGCTTAAAAGTTTAACAATTTTTTTTTAAAGTTTGTTATCGCATATTTGTTTGACATTAGAAAGAGTTAAGGTAAGGTGGGTAATTTAGGTTTATGAAGTAATGTGAGTCTAACTAATATTTATCAGCTTTTCTTAAGAATGACTTGAGATAAAATGATTTTTTTCCCTTGTATTTTCTAAGTGGTTAAGACAGCTTTCTGAATTTTCTTTATCAGCCTACTAATAAACAGCTTGTATAAATAGAGATTCTTATAAAAAACTGGAGGTCCATGGTTCGAATCCAGTTTAGGCTATATATGCATCATTGGTAAGAAAGGAGGTGTAATCTTCCTGGTTAATTGCTATGCTGTAGTGATCTGTGGTGCGAGCGCTAGGAATTCTATACACCTAAATAACTAATTTTGAAAAAATTAAAAAAAAAAGTTTTTTTTGAAAATGGCTGTTAAAGGTAAATATTATTTTATTAACAACCCTCAGAATTAGGTTCGGCATTGCTAAATGCCGACCCTAATTAAAAAACCTAAATAAAAGACCCTAGAAAAAATCATGGAAAGTTCTTGGAACTTTCCATGATTTTTTCTTCTTTTTTTTTTTCCATTACTGATATTTTCAAGATATTTGCAAAGTATTAGTATGTTTAGTCTAAGACTTTTTAAAAAGAAATAAAATGTATTAGTACGTCTAGTCTAAGACTTTTATGAAAATGATATTATTGTAGTGTAAATTATAGATTATCATTTTATTGAAATCAATTAGGTCACTCTTTTCAGAAAGTAGTTTAAATTTAAGTAAAGCATATAGCAAAGATATTTTACTATTTATTAGTTACTATAAGTTATTTCGAAGTTGTATGTTGTTTGTTTTTATGATTAGTTTACCTTTCTTAATTGAAATTGAAATTTTTTGTAGAGTCACCTCCACTAAACAATAGTTATGACAACATTGTTACTACGCAATATCAAAAAGTCCAAGAAGATCCGTATGTAAATCAACAACAAAATAACATTTCTTTGGTTCAGAAAAATGTTCCTGTTGTACAACAACAAGCCCCTGTTATTCAACCACAAGTCTCTGTTATTCAACCACAAGTCTCTGTTCAACAGGTATTATTAAGTAAATAGAAATTTAGTTAATTATAAATACTCATTATTTATATAGTTTTTCTTATTTTTTTAAGACTACACTTGTGGTTAAAGCTCAACAGTCAGGTATGTTTCTGTCAAATTACATTTTATTTGACCAGATTTAACAATTTCATTTAATTATAGTAGTGGTAGTTGGTCAGGTTGGCTGGTTTGGGTTAATAAGTTGAATCAAATCTGGACCTAAAGTTTTTTCAAGTTAAACTTGTCAAATCTAAATATATAAATATAAAGATATAGAGCTATTATGTAGTAATAAACTATTATGAGAAAAGAAGTTCTTTATGCTAATAAATCCATTAAATTATTGTTCTATTAATTACAAAGAATTATATTCTTTTATGACAACAAAAAATATTTTTAAATAGACATTTTTAATATATATTAAATAAACATTATTAATATATATTAAATTGGACCTGTAGATAAAGGAGTATTTTTATTTTAATGTAAACAAAAATACTCCCTCAAAAAAAAAAGCAGTGCGCAATTTTGCCACTCTCAGTTAATTATATGGCTTTGTGTAACTTTTTTAGTTTATTTTTTAGCACCTGAACCACCTCCTGCACCACCTGTACCAGCCATTGTGTCTGCTGTTCCTCCATCAGTACCAGCACCTCCACCACCAACTCAATCTTTACCAAATACTACTGTAACAGGAGGTGCACCTATAATGGGTGGCGCTCCTCCTCCCCCAATAGGTGGTGGGCCTCCACCACCACCTCCTCCACCACCACCACCAGCTTTTGGTGGTCCTTCGGCTCCCCCACCACCTCCACTTCCTGGTGCTGCCAATAAAGCGTCAGGTAGTAGTAGTTCTGCATCAGGTGGTGGCAGTGATCTTTCAAATGCTTTAGCTGGGGTAACTTTGAAAAAAAGAGCTGAGGTATTCTTTTATTTCTTTTTTTTTTAATATAATAAAAATAATATATATATTTTTGAAATAACACGAGTATTAATTTTTAGACATCAGTAGAGGAGAGGCGTCCAACAATAAGTAATGCTAATCCTATGGATGATATGATGAGTGCTCTCAACAGAAAGTTACTTGCCAGGTTTTAAATTTTTTGTTGTGTTAAAAATGTTTGTTATATATGTTATTATGATGTATATAACAGGCATTTATGATATATCTTTGTCGCTGTTATGTCAATATATTTATTTATGCCAATATAAATTTTTTTAATGTTACTATGCTTTATTAGGAAACAAAAAGCAGATGGAGATGAAGATGTAAGTTTTTTATTTTTATAATTCAAGTAGTTGTTAAGGATGCATTTATGGTCTTCTGTTTGTAGATCCTGGAAATTTTAGGCAGTTAGTTAACTTTAACTTGTAGAAGAATTCATGATATTTTATGGAATCTTTTTAGAATCAAATTTTTAAGACAATTTTAAATCTCTTCTAGGTTACTGATGCACCAAGTACACGTAAGTTTTTAAGCATCCGATTCAAATCTCTTTTTGAAGTTATTTTTATATACATTTTTTTATAAAGTAATTAATACATAAAAAATAAACAATGCAATAAATAAGTAAAATACAAAGTTTTAAATGCCAAAACAGAATTATTCATTTTATTGTGGTTCAAAATTTTCAGCTTTTACTGTACCTGTTAAAGCGCCTGTTAATAAGAATCCACCTGTTTCAAATAACAAAGCTACAGTTGTAACAACTGCAGCAAAAAATACTAAATTGCCAACTCAAGTCAAGGAGCCATTGTGAGTTGTTTAATAATATTTTTACGTTTTAAAGTTTTTTACTTTTTGTTATTATAGTTAAATCTATTTCATCTTTTATACATAGACCTAATAGTGTTAACACAACCACAAATGTAACTTCTTTGTCATCTGAAGATTTCAAGCTGTTAAAAGAGGTAAAACATATACATACACACATGTCGTAATAGAATTTTTAATTATACTTACATTTGCTACTACTGACATGTTCATTAATATTTACCATTCATATTATCCTCATTTATAATTTGTTTATTTCGAATTATAATTTAAATAAATTTATAAATTAATAAAAAAATTATAAAGAACATAATTAACGAAATTCTCCCCATTTATACATTTATGCAATTTAATACGGTATACTGAAACGAACGAAAAAGATTATACTAATAGTTACACTAATTACACTAATAATAAAATTAATTACACTTATAATAAAATTAATTACACTAATAATAAAATTAATTACACTAATAATAAAATTAATTACACTAATAATAAAATTAATTACACTAATAATAAAATTAATTACACTAATAATAAAATTAATTACACTAGTAATAAAATTAAGATTATTTTTTTAAATTAAGATTTTATTTATTTAAAATTAAGATTATTTTTAAATTAAGATTACACTAATAATAAAATTACCGCTAGTACACATTTTTGGTGTAGGAGTTATTATCTTGTATGAGAGAAGAAATCAACGCTGCAAAAAACGAAATTATAGAAGGTAAGGCTAGTTTATTAATCTAATGAAAAGTTAAATGCAGTCATTGTGATTAATTTTTTATTTTTTTTATTTTTTTATAGCTATTCGAGAAGAAATGTCTCGGTTAAGCTAAAGAAATTCGAAAAAAAATTAGCAGTCGTTTTTGTACTGCAAGTTTTTATTATAGAAATTGTTTAATTAAAGATTGCGATGTGTACATTTTTGGTGTTGAGCGTAGCAGTCAATATCCTTAATAGTTGATATCCAATATCCAGTAGTTTTTTTTAGTATTATTTATTCTCTTTTTTTTTTTCTGTCTTTTATCTTTTAATTTTTGCTAAAGATTTTTTTAAAGTTTTTAGTTTGTTCAAATGTATATGGTTTTTCCTATAAGTTTTATACACTAAAACTGTCAATAAATAAATGAATAGTTTTGTTTTGCGCGTATTATAAAATTATTATTTTATAATTAATTGATTTATTAATTCTGCTTCCGTTTTTCTAGAATGGTTTTATCACTAAACTTTTTTTATTATAATTTTTCTACCTTTCCTGAGGTGTAGGTATGTATGTAGTTTGTTGTACATTTATTAGTAATGACTTTTTTTTATGTAAAATAAATTTTGAACGAACAAAACGAAATAAGTTCCTTTTTTCTCTTGCAATACTTGTTTTATCTCTTTTAATATATACGTTTAAAAAAAAAAAACTGAAGAGTAGCAACTTTACTTTATACCAGTGTTTCCTAAACGTTTTAAAAACGTTTCCTAAACGTTTTTATGCCATGCAACACCAGGGCTTCTGAAACATTAAAATTCTCCCCATGTTACATAAGCATAGTTTTATTAACTGGTTACTTTCTTAGCATAACATTTTCAACATAGTTTAATTAACTAAAATTATTAACTGAGTACTTTAAACGTTGAACTGTAAAAAGAAATCGATAGGTAATTATTTAAAAACAATTATTATTAATCAAGTAAAAATGATATATTCAACTACCCTATCTAGTCAAAGATACTTAAAGGATCCTATAAGATTGCTTTAGGATTCCTATATGTATCGCATATGTTTTATGGAATTCTTATCAGACCATTATGCTACCTATAGCAATCGTAAAAGTATACTATAGGGTTCCTATAAAACTAATAAAATTACAATAACCTAGTCAAAAAATCTTAAAAGATCTTATAGAACTTATAGGATATGCATTAGGACCACAGAATTGCGATAAGATTAATGCTGTACTCCCAGGATTTCTATAAAACCTATAGGACTTCTAAACGAATAAACAAATATTAGATTAAAAAAATTACTTAACGATATGTCTTGTTGGATTCTATAGGAATTTTATGTCATACAATTTTTTTTTTAATAACATAAAGTAAATATAGGATTTCTACTGGATTCATGAGATGGTTATATAGTTTACTAGATTTGCATAAAATAGCCGTAATGAAAAAGTCCTAGAAAATTACCTAACCATACCATAATTACAAGAAATTGGAAATCTCGTACCATTTCTAAATATTTAATCTTTATATACAGTCGTATGCACTAAAATAGTAGTGCGTATTTTATTTTTCTATCAACAAACTTTGAACATCAAAATAAATTTTTCTATTGCTTGTTTTTTATCGTTATTGTTCATAAAAGAAATGTTGTGATTATAAAAGTATAAAAAAATTAAAAAGTATAAAAGAAAGATAATTGCAGCACTGCATGGTTTTAAATTTCAATGTTATCGATTGAAGGTCGTTCGTATTTTTTTTTTAGATTGTGCAAAAAAACAGTAGTGAAAATCATTTTTTATGAAAAGGTCAAAAAATAATTAAATTTTATTACAAAAAAAAAATTTTTTTTTTGAACCTCTACATTTGTATTTTGTGGCATGACCTTTATTTGTAATAACCGCTAAGCATCTTCGTTGGATGAAATTAATAAGATTCTGACATCGTTCGACATATATATTTTGCCATGCTGACTGTACTGCGTCCCACAATTGATTACAACCTTTTGGATTTTTTTCAGAAACTGCTTGTTTAACATCAATTCACAAGTTGAAGTGAGTTGATGTTAAATGAAGTCGGAGGATTGTGCTGGCCACTCCATCACATCGACTTTGTTCTCATTAAACCACGATTTGGCTAACTTGCTCGTATGTTTGGGATCATTATCCTTCTGGAACAAAAAATTTAACTGTATTTCTTCTCCAGCATAAGGCAGCACGGTCCCTTCAAGTATTTTTACATATACAAACCGATCCATGATACCTTCTATGCGATGTATCGGCCCAAGACCATAGTAAGAAAAACAACCTATATCAATATTTTTGAACCTCCATGTTTGTCGGTCTTTAATGTAAATTGTGGCTTATATGCTGCACCCGTTGGTCTTCTAACATACTGTTTACGAACATAGGAATCAAAAATTTCAACTTTGCTTTTATCAGTTCACAAAACATTTCGCCATTTTTTCTTTAGGCCAAGAAGCATAAATACGTGCAAATTTTAAACGATTTTCGATATGTCGTTTACTCAAAAGTGGCACTTTTCTAAGTGTTCTTGCATTTAAATCGGCATGCGTTAATCGTCTTCTAATAGTTGAGGTATTAACATTTAACTCTAGCCTTTCTTTAATTTTTCTAGAAGTAACAAATGGCTCCTTTTTCGCTAACGATACAATTCGACGATCTTCTATAGCAGTAGTTGATCTTTTATTTCCACGTTTTTCTGGTTTAGGTATCCATTTTAAAGCATTACAAATCATTTTTGGTAAGCATCCAACTAGTTCTTATATTTGTTTGTAGGCTTTACCATGATTTTTTAGATTTATAATTAAATTACGAACTTCTTGAGTTCAATGCTTAGAGCGCCCCATGTTTTTCTGAATTTTCAAAATTTTAGTAAGTGAATAAATTTATCTAATATCAAACTTAATTAGTTACTTATTGCTTATTATTAAGAACTAATAATAATTAGAATTTAATAAGTACAGCAATTATTACACAAAAATTAATTATTTTGTTGCACAGTCTAAAAAAATACGAATGACCTTCAATCGATAATATTGAAAATTTAAAACCATACAGTGCTGCAATTATCTTTCTTAAATTTTTTTTATACTATTATAATCACAACATGTAGTTTATGAACAATAACGATAAAAAACAAACAATAGAAAAGTATACTTTGATGTTCAAAGTTTGTTGATAGAAAAATAAAATACGCACTACTATTTTACTGCACACGACCATATATATATATATATATATATATATATATATATATATATATATATATATATATATATATATATATATATATATATATATATATATATATATATATATATATATATATATATATATATATATATATATATATATATATATATATATTTCATTTATTCATAGTTATATTTTCTATTACAATATTGCTTAGGCAAGTACCAACTATGAAAAACTTAAAAAAAACTTATTTTAATCAAAAACATGCATACAGGCACATTGAAAAGAGATTCTAAGTTAACAGTTGCGTTAACGTCAAATATAATCCTGTATGCATGTTTTCAAAAGTTTTTTTTGCATTGAGTGCACACTCAATGTTTATACAAAATATATACCAAATATACCCTGTTCATGTTTAAATCAAAACATAGTTTATCTCTTAATATCTTCTACTCTTACTTGACCAAAATTTCTCATAAATACCCCATTAAATTTTCAAATGATAAATTTGTTATTCAATCATCTATTTAAAATTCAGTTTATTTCAAATCCAAAATCGTGGACCATTTCTGTGGAAAATTTTCTTTTAAAATATTATTAAAAATAAAACTATTCTAAACTTCTCTATAAAAAAAGAGAATGTAAACGTTTCTTATTAGAAAAAAACTTTAAATTTAAATATCTTTTCTAAAAAAAGATCAAAAACTAAGATAACTAAACTGAAAAGTCGTCACCACTAGTGATGTCACTGATCACAACTTATTTTTGGGACGACTTAATAAGCGCGAATTTCATAAGTACGACTTTGCATAAGTGCGCCAAAAGAATTTGCAAACATTAGCATAAGTACGAACAGTCATAAGTGAGAACTGGCATAGGTACAAAGCAGTTGCAAAAATTGGCACAAGTACGAAATGGCATAAATGCGAATTGACATAAATGCGCCGAATAAATTTGCAAACATCGGCATAAGTGCGAATTGGCAAAAATGCAATTATGCCGATGGCAAAAGTACAAAGCAATCGAATTGGCATAAATGCGAACTGGCATAAATGCACCGAATAAATTTGCAAATATTGGCAAAAGTGCGAAATACCGATTTGCACTTATACCAATATTTGCAGTTTTATTTGGCGTACTTATGCCAATTCGCAATTATGCCAGCTCGCACTTATGCCAGTTTCTTAACTGCATCGCACTTATGCCAGGTCGCACTTGTGCCAGTTTTTGCACCTATGACAGTTTGCACTTATGCCAGTTTGCACTTATGCAAATGTTTACGAATTCTTTTGGCACACTTATGACAATTTGCACATACGCCAGTTCGTACTTATTCCAGTTTTTGCAACGTTTTGCACTTTTGCTAGTTCGCACTAATGCCAATTTGCGCTTATTCAACCTACCGTTATTTTTGTGTTAATCATTTGACTTTTATTTCGTATTAAAATAAAAAATTAGTAATTTTAAAAGCCAAACATGTCAAGTAATTTTAAAAGCCAAACATGTCAAGTTTATTTAAATACTATTGGCTAATGTAACACATTGTAAACTTAAACCACAACAAAACCTCGTCCAATCAACTTATAACAGATTAAGCAATTAAAATAGCAAAATGGTCAAAATCTTGTAAAACGAAACTTTTATGTAAAACAATAGCATTTAGAGTTAAATTAACGCAAGTTAAATTCAAATTTGTTGGTGACCAGTGTGTATTATATGATGGTAATATGAATTATCATATGATGGTAATATGAATACACACTGTCCTCCAAAACATAAGCAACAATATTAAAAAATTATATTTTAACTTCAATCACTGAATACAGCATTTTTTATGAAAAAACTCTTTAAACGGAGTCAAATTGTTATCATTACATACCAGGAAAAGATTTGTTCATAATAAATTTTAAAAGACATCATTAAAGTGTTTAAAATATAATTAAATTAAAACTTCTATTATTGATTTAACTCTTTATTTGAAATTAATTTTCATACAATATTTCAAGGGATTATAGATACCCTCGTTGTCAAGTATATACATACATACATATATATATATATATATATATATATATATATATATATATATATATATATATATATATATATATATATATATATATATATATTTTCCTTCTTTTATTACATGTAAAATAATCATTTCGTTACAATATTTCAAATACAAATATGTAATAATAAATTTATATATAAATATAATGGTCGTTATTAGAAAATAAAAGAACGCGGGGACTCATAGAAGACCGTACAGTCTTGTCGTCGAGTACCGCTAAAAAATGTTCGTGTTAAAATTTAAAAGATAATTACAAGGTTAAAAAATAAAAATAAGTTAACAAAAGTAAGAAACTTAAAATAATCCATAATAAATACAAGATGCGTTATATCTATTATATATGTAAATTACAGTTGTTAAGGATA